AACAACTTTGTTACTGCCAAACATTATCCTTGGAAAAGTTATTGCATGTACATGAATTTCTCTCTAAATGTTTGAAAAAGTGACATGTGAATATTGTCGTGCTTTTTTGTTTATATGATAATGCTAAATGTGGAAAAACTGCGCAGGATTTTAGAACGTGCAACATTTTACAAACGGCGCCCCATACACAACCTGGTTGCGACTGGTAATTATTTTAACAGCACTGGACGTATTTCAGCCAAACAAACACTTCATTATTGCAACAAAACTAGAACCTCGGCCGCTATTGTACTTCATCAGCTAGATGTTTTTGCATTGAATGGATTGTGCGCGCTCGTCAGAGGGACCAGAGCCAACGGCGTTATCGGGAGTATGTCACGTAAGCCGAGTCCGAGGGAAAAAAATGTTGATGGTAAAAACAAATGCGTGAAAGACTGAATACAGAATTCAAAACCAATCAATGGCCTATAGCTGTGTGTGTGTTTCGTTGCCTCGGATACATTAATAACCTTTTCTTGTCAGAGGACAGATTTGTGTCAACGGCGTAATCTCTAATTCCACCGTCGCAAAATCATCGTGAAGGGAAAAACACACTGCTTTCATCAGTGTGAGCAGTCCCGGGGTTCTTCTGCAGCTCCAAACCGCAGCTTCCACAGACTTTCCAGTGGAATTCGTATCGGACCTGTCGGGGGGGGGGGGTGGCGAGGGGGGACTCGGGGGCCTCGGGGCTCGAACCCCGGCGCTGCGCGTCCTGAAGCCTATTTGCAAATGACCTCCTCCACCAGAGGCGAGGCTAGAATAACACACAGCGGCCTGCTCTCTGCTACCGCAGAGAGAAGGTCCAAGATACGGGACCAAAGCGGGACAGGAGGGACGGGGGGGGTGGGGGTGTCAAACCTGGCTAACCAACCCCAACTGATACGAGACCTGTTGCTCCATCTACGCTCACCCATCGGTGTCTCATTTCTGTTATCATGGAAGTTTTTTTTTTTTAAAGAAGGAAGTGTCCAGAGTTGTTAGCTGCAGACTTTTTTACTGGTTTTTGACACGAGGGTGAAGCAGACTGAGGTGGAGCTGAGCACGGTGTTCCTGTTCGGGTTTTTTTTGCATGATGGATGGTGGCAGCGGCTGAGCGGGACAGGTTGCCACGTCTAATGGGTCTCCGAGGAACTTAATCAGCCTTTCCTTGCAGCACTGTGGATAAATAACAAGCCGGACAACTCCGCTGCATTGGGGGTCCCGAAAGAAAGAGCTCGACTGATGGCGCTCTGACAAAAAAAACAGCGTGAGATCCCTTCAGCGAGATAGTGATCTAAATCACCAGTGAAGGATGAGAAACCGAGACGCGTGCTCTTAAAAAGCGTCTATCTGTGTGAATCAAGCCGTGTGCTTTCCAGAAGTCTGCCGTGAAGGAAAGTGTACGGCTCGTCAGTTGTTTGTCGGGCCGCATGTACCGGCAGTAGGTGGCTCGCGCGGCAAAGTAATACTACAGTTTCCATTGAGCGCCGACAATACGATACGGCCTGTCTCTAAACAACACAACGCCACCAGGTTTGTGATATACATGCTCTCATGGAGGGAGATTAGCACATTCCCGTGGCAGCGGCTGCTTGAAACACGTGCCGGCAGCTGTCAGGGACGTGTTGATTGGGTGTTTAGGAACGTTCTGCAGCAGAGTATCAGTGCACTGAACAGTGTGGATCATGGACTCACTGTGTATGGGCTAAAAGTGAGAAATGCAATGTGCAGGGGTACTTAAAAGCTGTAAAGGAGTCAAAACTACTTGCAGCATATGCAGCTTCCTACTCAGGTAAAGTTAGTCCGTAGAGGATGTAATGTGCAGATGTTACAGGTGTTCTTCCTTAATAATGCAACCAGAAAAGAAATGGAAATGGTGGAAAGTAAAATTTAGAAATCAAAGGCGGATGTGGAGATAAACTGTGAATTGTAATCCAATTGTTATTGTAAATAAAACGTCTTTGTGGTCCAACACTAATGGGATATTTGATAAATGATTAAATCTACTGTGTAAACTGCACATGAAACGAACCACACGTGTTCGAGTGGTTTGATTAAACCAAGCTGTTCCCTAAAATGTGCAATCCGTGGTTTTCTGTGTGTTAAAATCAGCCTCTGTGGGTCAAATGAATGATTCTTCTCTAACCTTATATTGCAAGGCATTGATGTTCTGGCCGCAGAAAGTGTTGCTCAACAGAGTTTCTGAGCAGGAACTGGATCGCATTAGAACCTCTCTATAAATAGTGTCCCGTAGAATCCATGTTGACCACGCGGTGGTCTAAATGAGAATCCAGCTGTCTGTTGTTTTGTACAGTTCGCTGCTGGATCTTCACATCTACTCTCCGTCTCTGTGACTAATCGATCCCGAGGCCGCAATACGCACACGCCGCACCTTCCCCCAAACACACACACACACACACACACACACACACACACACACACACACACACAGCAGAAGCACAATCTTGCATATACGTGATTCTACCAGTGCACTAATCTCTATCCAAGGCAGGAGGAAGAAAAAGTACATTCTGAAAATATGGAGCCGTTTCCTGAGATTGAATAAGTCCCAGCGGGCCAAAAAAAACACCAAACTGTGTGTTGAGAAGGTCTCAGGAGTTGGGCTGTTAATAGCGCTCAGTACGTCCTCTGGGGTGGCCATGTTGGGGAGACGGGGATCTGGGTTGTGTCTCAGACTCTTTTTTTTTTTTTTCTTCATGCTAACAGCACACACCTGCACAAGCACACGTGACGGACCGGACAAGATCACACACGTGACTGAGGCGGTGGCCGCTGCGTGCGGGATTTAAATCCGAGGAGTCCTTCACCAGCCGTTGGTCAGAGCCAATAACGGGCCGCCGAGGATTCCTACGTGTCAGCACTGACATTTGGGAGAGCGTTGGCACGGCAACTCCTAATTTCAGTTCTGTGAATCACATGCATCAGCAACTTCAGTTTCCATCTTTTCAAAACCAAACACATAATACACAGTGTGCTCTTGTCAGTGAGTTGGACTGAAGGGTAAAAACCCCAAAATAGAGAATGCTGCAGCGTTTAAGGGAAGATTTATGGCACGGAAGACAGCGAACCACCCAATATGTTCATTTCCTGTGGTGTGCCAGAGCGCTTTCTCTCTCTCTCTAGACAGGCACACACACACATTTAAATTATATGATATATATAACCATATAACAATTCTGGTTGGGTACTATTACACGTTTAAGTAATTCTAAAAGCATTTTTAAGAATCTGTTCTAAACTTAACGTGGCTGTAATTCATGAGGAGGCGTTATCGTGATTCTTTAAGGCTTCTATCTTAAATGCACAATGTTTAAACATATCATATCCCCCCCCAAAGTGTGTGAGCAGAATGCTAATTCCCTGTGTAACCACATTTCACAGTGGGGATTTAATGGGAGGTACAGAAGCTCAGTCCAGAGAAAATGTGTGCTCCAATTATTGCCACGCTTTTAAGTCACATTAAACTAATTTGCTGAGTTACCCAGTGGGTTTTGAGGTCATTGTCGACATATTCCAAATACATTTATAAAAGCATTACTCACAATTAACTGACATTACATTACACCTTAGTTTGATAATTGTATGATAGGCACAATGGGTTTGTATAATGCCTATAATGCCTTATGAATGTATGTGCTGAGAAGTCTGATGAAAACATGCAAGATTCAATCTCTTTGCAAAGTTGTAGCGAACCCTTTGTATTTTAAAGAATTATCTTCTGTAACATTGGGCTGGTAGCAGATATTGCATTGGAACATAACCTGAAAAGACAATTTCCTTTCTGGACATCAAAACACTTCAATACTGCGAAGCAGTTTTATCGTAATGCCTCTTCTATCTAGTAATAACAGTGGATATTGGGTCCAGAGGGGGAGACTTGCCGGCATCACGCACAGCCGTCCACTCTGAAAGAAAGAAATATCTTCACGAAATTCCTTCAGATGACTTCCTTTGAGCTTTTCGATAGAAATACAAACTGGCTAAATTACATTATTTCATAAAGACTCACAAACAAATCGTAGATTGGTTTGAAGGCAGATGAGGACTGAGGAGACATTGGTAACATCACTAAACTCATGAGCTCATCCGGCCCAGTTTGTCTTAGGAAAGCTGGCACGCGTGTGGGTCGATGGTGGCGCATGGAGTAGAGACACCCAACCTCTAACTGTAAAATGTAAAAACCATGGGTTAAAAAATAGTCACTTTGGATAAAAGCTCCATTCCATTCTTCACCCGTGTTGAAGACATCTCACGCTGCTTCTCAGATCGGCACTTTTAATCCATTTTTTAATTATCAGATGAATAACATTTCAGTGTCTCTCAGTGCGTTCAAAGCGTTCCTCTCCGGTCTCCATCGGCAACATGTAAACACGCTCTCTTGTCTTCTATAACAGCACCCTGTGCTCCTGTCGCAGCCACCATGTGCAGTGTGTTATAATATAATAATAAAGTCACATTGCCTCCGTGTAGCGTGACTACGCAGCCCGACAAGCCAGCAAGCTTCGCTGTTTCATCACCACAGCGAGCTGCGATCACGGGAGCAGACCTTTCCTCGTAGACACGCGAGAAACATCACACGGCAGCCCGCTTCGTTCTGCAGGGAAGCGACGCAGTTTCAACTGTGTGTGTGGTGAGGGGGGGGGGCAGCCATGTGTAGACACAGTGCTGCCCGCTCCATGTGGGAAAACTTAGGGGTCGTCTCTGTTGTTAAAAGATCAGAGGCGAAGGAGGAGATTCATTTGAGCTGATTTTATGACACATTTTAGCAAATTTGGAAGGAGGAAAACATTAAATGCCCCATAAAACCTGTTCCACAGCATGCAAGGCCGCCCCATTAAGTCTGCTGTCCCACAGGAATACAAAGGAGATCTGAGTCAGTACTGTACGTGTTGCTAGAATGGGAAGTTCGTCAGTGGCGTAGCTTAAATCTACTACAAAAAGATGCTGCACAGGACCCCAAACAAAAGGAAAACACCATCAATTTATTGTGGAAAAAGAAGCAACATTGTGAAGAAAAAAAGTATTTCCTGGCACATTGTTCATTTCTATATTACAAAAAAGGAGAAAAAGGCTACAAATCTCGATAATTTATACAAATACGACAACTTCCAAAAATAAATCTTTAATTTAGTAAACGCTCCGTGAACGAGTTTCTGCAATAACCCACCGCTTGAGATCCCTGAGCAGAGACACAGAGTGAAACACCTTATTCTTTTCTTTTTTTTTACATCTTCACTCAAGCAATAACAATTATCAGTGTTTGTTCATAAACACCTAATATACACGGGGGAAGTCGGCGAGCTCTTTGACAAAGCGGTGTGTGTGTGTGTGTGTGTGTGTGTGTGAGGCGTGGTTATCTTACTGAACATTTCACTAGTGGACCATCAGTGTGCCTGCAACACGTGACAGATATACGGCGTTATTCTGTCTTTACCAACAATGAGCAACTCAACTGTATTCGAAACTTATTGACCACATCCGCTAACTTCCCTCATTTTACATTTAAAAAAAACACAGGTCCAGCTGGTTCTGTTGCTAAGGTAACGCAAAGCAATAATTTACAAAGTTTAGATTAACACACACACACAAAGACCAGGAGGTTTGTGGCCAACGACAAATACTGTACATACTCATACGTTCATCACGCAAGGTGCCGTTTCACTTGTGTGTATGTCGACAACAACAAAGAAACGAGACTTTAAAGAGTGAGTTTTGACAATATGGGAAATACCTCACGTGACAGACCAAACTTGCTCAGTGTCTGAGATTCCACTTTAAGTTTGGCGGATTTTATGCCGTGAGTGTTTCTGTGTACTATAGACAGTGTAGGTATATATTAGGATTCATCTATACAAACGCAATGTAATTAGTTTTATTCCAATAAAAACGTGTGCATCTAAACATTTCCCTTTGTCATACCGAGCGCTTTGCTGCGTGATGAAAAGGTCGGCATGGCTTTTGCATTTGATGCTTGTTTGTTGTGAACTTCAGACGTGTGGAGAGATTTGAAGCAAACTACTCGACCGGCCGCTTTGTTTTGTTTCCGTAGCTTTTATTCCTGTTGCTCTGCTGTGTTACCACGGCGACACGGCGCCCCTTGCCAGTGCAGGACGACAAGCAGAAGTGGTAAAATCGCCACCTGAATGCTGCAGAAGATTCACACGTTTTGTAAGGCATTCCGACGTGAACAGAGTCACAGCTTTCTTGCCAAAACATTTTTTGTATTTGGCAAATTGCAGCCTTAGTGGAGCTTTTAGAGGCCAATATTGGACTGGCTACCAAATAAAAATTCCCTTTTATTCACCAAATATTCAGACATCTGCTGTAAGTGGTTTGCAGTGACGATGGTAATTTTCATATCTTCATGAGACGAGTGAGGAATCTCATGAGAAAAACAAAGTGATTTGTGGTAATTGGTCGGCGCTTTTAGTGATTTCATTTTGGTGACGCTGGGTGGTAAAACCAATTATTTTTTTCATTAGCAAGATGTAAAATGAGATCAAACCAACAAGCGTATTTAGCAAACCCCGTGAGTGCAGATTTTAAATCTTATTTCACACTGCTCACGGGAGAATTTAAAACCTTTGAGATAAGATTCTTGATTTGGGAAAAAACAACTCATTTATCCCAAAGCAAATTAACCTACTCTATGGTCTTGGTTCAAATCCCAGTGCTCTAGTTCTAAAAAATAAAAAATAAAAACAAGCAAGTGATTCCTCTGATCCGAAGAAAGTTCTTAAGAGTCCAAATACCACGCAGCGGCCTCCCAAACTGAGCACCTGTGATGACAGCTGCCGGCCCCCGAGGTGTACGCAGAGCTCAGGAGCTATTAGAAGGTCCGAGCGCCACCGTCACGGTCTCTCCGAGCAAACTCTTCCACCTTCGAAGGACCCGGCGAGGCAACGGGGAGCGTGCGGTGCGGCTCACAGGCGGCGAGCGGGGAGCTCAGGGGCTCGTGGTCCTCAGGCCCTGCTTCTCCATTATGTTCCACAGCTTACGCAGGTTCGACTGGGTGATGGTGTCGTCCGGCTTCAGCTGAAGCGCTCGGAGGTAATTGGCTTCGGCCTCTTGCAGCTTCCCGTTGAGGTGGAGGATCGCCCCGAGGTTCATCAAGGCGGCGGGATACTGGAAGGGAAAACAGATTGGGGGCAGTTTAAGGCTTTGTTCCAAAGAAGCGTGGCGTTCTCTACCCTTTCCGGTATGAGAAGAGTGCACATTTTAAAAGTATTACATTTTACATCACAGGGCATGATTGGAAAACGAGGAATAATGCTAATTAAGTTTGACTTTTCAGTTCAGAGAATTTAATTTGACCAGAAATGTTTTATATATCTGAGCGACCTGCAGTTAATTCTAATCCGGGCAATGGACTGAAGCCATAAACACACAATCAAATATCAATACTATATATAGTCCATGTTTTACTTTTATTTAAAACAGTCCCTGTAAAAGCAAAAGGGAAGCTGTGCAGCAGACCCGCACGGATCACACACACACACACACACACACACACACACACACACACACCCTGTGCTGCAGTGTTTGGAGTCTGGTGACCACGCCGCCCTGCGTGTTGCCGTGTCTTTTTTTTCCCGGGGGCCACACATGTCAGAGAGATCAACCAGCCCTTTGAAGTTGGTCCCGATGAATATACGCCAAATTGCGAGGGGGGCGGTGCGGGTGAGTCATGAGGACATAAGTACGGGAAAAGTGTCCCGGGTGCAATCACGGCCAAGACCATGAAGCATCTGGGCCGAGGGAGGGGCCACATCTGACCTCCATGTTAGTAAAGTAAGAAATGTGGAAAAGATGTCTAATCCCGTAGAACCGCTATGGTTCTACTCATACATTTAGTTAATTGTCATTCCCAGAAAAGAAGAGGTGCTCAAATAAAAATAAAAATAGTTTATTGCAGAGTTTGAGTTTTTTCTCATGATTGCACATCAATGTCACATGGGATGGCACCTCGACACACGCTGAGAGCTCTACCACAAGCCCAGGCCTTCACTTCTCATGGTCGAGGAATAATCACAGTCAATCCAGGAGGAGCAACTCTTGCATGACAGATGAGTGTTTTGAACGTTTTGATAAACCATCCAACAGCAGTGAGCAAAGTAAGACCGTACTCACGTGCTTTGAGGTTAATTCAACTGATGAATAAATCAAGAGAGAATAAATCTGTTCTATTTCTCACACCACCCGTATGAAACACGGCCCTAATGTCATTACCAAAGTAAAAGGCTGGTAGAAAGTTACCAGTTAATAAAACGTGCTGCGTATTGTACAAACGACATTAATCCCCCTTGCGGTTCAATTATTTTTCACAGTAGCAGCCACGGTTCTGGACTTTCACGGTCGAGGAAAATTTAGGGTGTTTGCGCAATAAATTACCTCCTGTTTGAACCACAATATGAAGGTCAAACCACAAAACACCGCTGGGGGATCGATTTGCAAGTTCAGGGATTTTTACAACTCAGAATAAGCCAAAACATACAAGTGTTTATACTTCTGCACATACATGGAAGTGACAGTTAAGGGGCCACGCACCAACACGTATGTTGGAAGGTGGAAGCTTGTTATTTTTGTGGAGAAAGTAAAGATCTCAGAGTTACGGCAGTTGCAATTATCAATTATCTCAGTCAGTGATCTGGTTTCTGAAGTTTAGGTACATTATTATGAACTTGTCATTATCATCATCACATTAGTATGGGGGCCCTTTTAGGAGAAATGTCTAAAAAAGGAAAATAAATGGAGGAGTTAAAGGACTTTATTCTGTAAAAGTTATTCACTTTTCAGCGTCTCTGACAAAACCAGCATGAGATATTCTACTATCATCAGTGTCTCGACCCTAATTTCAGCTAATGAGCATCAACTAAATCCGTCTCCGCCGGCGGGTCTGTGTTATCTCAGCCGGACAAATGGGTAATTCCAGGTTGATTAAAAGCGGGACGTACGGGTGCTTCCCTTCTCATTTGAACTCAGTGTTGTGAGGGCAGCAATGTAGCCGTTTGCCTTCATCAAGGGTCAGTTTTAAGTTTGCTTTTACCGGGCGGGTTTGCTTCCCTCGGCCCGCCGACGGGGGGAAACAGACTAGAGGCGTTGGAGCCAGTACTCCTGCGCTTGCCGCTGCACTTTTCACCGCTACACAGTTAGTCTCTGCCTGTGCAAGTTCTTCTCCTCCGGAGACCAAGGAGTCATTTCCCGTTATTCATCACGTTAGCTGACTGGTTTACTGCCCCGACTGCGATGTGATCACCGTGCGTGCGTGAGCCAAACTAATCGATCGCAAAAGATTGAGAGTATACCTTGCAGATTGGCGCCAATGGGGAGCGAGCTGTTAATATTATACAGTTGGTCAAGAGGCTGGTGAGCACGTGTGCCCACGATTCTCAAAAATGGGCTGGAGATCCCTGGATGGAAAGTTAATTGACTCCTGCTTTTCCTCTCAGCGCAGCTCAAAGGGTCTTTACTTCTCTCTACTTTCACCATTCCTGAGTTAACTTTCCCTCCACAAGGCTCCCATCATTCCTCAACCCCCCCCCAACATTATATAACAAAGACTTTTGTGATTTATAACCTTACTCCTGCATTCTTTGTCACCCTTGCAACACTTGCAACCCTCTGCAAAACGTTCCCATGTCAAAAGCTTTCATTTTCTTCCCCTCGTTTCCTGCTGCTCTGCAACCTCTCTGCCTGCCCACCTTTCCCTTAACTGGCATGTAAGCAGCAGCAGCACGGCCAGATGTGCAGCATTTGAGCCAGGACCATAAAGAAACACGTGCTATGAAGGTTGCGCGCCGGGCCTAACAACGCCCTCGAACATTATTGGACGATAAAGTACAGCCTCTCGTACCTTACTGCTTAAGTACCCAATACAAATGACAAAAATGTGTAGCAAAAGTGACCAAGCTTCTGTGTGGATGTGGCCGTCTATTTTGCGTGTTTGTCACGCGGCAGCCCCCGTTTCCTCACAATACCGCCACCCTTTGTAAAGGCAAATTTCCACAATTTTTAACTTTAAAGTTTTGACGAGCTTTGGTGATTGGAGAAAAAACGTGTGCAGTTACTTCGTAAAAGATCATCTGTGGAAACAATTAAAAAGTCATGGTTGTCACTCGTGTTTGAAACAATATGTGGGGGTTAATTAGATATTAAAAATACCCTATTTTGACACTGACAACCACGGAGGTGAGATAGCGGCTCATTTTCATGGTTCCAGTGAAAAAAAAACTTTATTGTGTGCCTCTGTTCTACTCAATGTTTGCATATGTTCTGCTGGGGTTTTGTAAACATTGTTTTCTGTGTGACATTGTCCAGATATATTTAGATCATCAATCCCGAACGTGATTTATTCAAATCACGACGCGGGAACAAACAGGCTGACCGCGTGGCAAACATATTTTTGCTCCCTATGGGGCCCATCGCCTAAACAACTCGACCCCTCCTGCTAAAGACTGCAGCCCATTCATCTTCAACACGTCGCAGCCCCCTGACCGAGTGTTGTTGTCATTATTCTTTTCAATCTACTTGCCCTTTGAAGCCGGTGATGGATTCTATACAAACAAACCTCGGAGCTTAGTGAGAAAAAAAAAAACGAACCCTCCCATTTTTTTTTGTTGTGACTCCCTGACAACGAAGGCCGTTGTCTTTCAGCAGCGATATTGGAAAAGCCACCCAGGCCGTGATTGCACAGCGTCCGTCGGGGGGGGGGTAAATGGTAACGGGGATGATCAGGCAGTTGTGGTTTTTACTCACATTGGGTCTCAGGCTCGCTGCTTGTCCGTAATACTTCTCGGCCGCCTCGTTTAGGCTGGCTTGTCTGCAAACGGGGGGGGGGAGGGAGGGAGAAAAAGAGAGAGAGAGAGAGAGAGGCAATCGTTACTCATCGTTATTGCTCCTGGCTCCGGCCGAGGCCTCGAACCCCGCGTGTCTAAAAAGCCACTCAGGGGTCACTGAGGAAACAACCGGAGGGAAGCGCATGAGGGATGAGGGTAGGTCCTACTTTGATAGAGTCTTTCACTTGATAAAATGTGTGCTGAGCACGGCAGGCACTTTGTGCCAGAATTGAACCTTGATGTCGGGATTCTGGCTTATTGGAACTCCTGGAAAAAAAAACTCACCAACAAACCGAGTCGGATCGGGAATCCTCACAGTAGTGTTGCGTTCGTAGCTGGGCGGGCGGGGGGGGGGGGAGAGCGTGGTTCGACAACGCACGCGCTTTGTGTTTCAGTACATGCAACTGCAGTCGGGACGGGGTGTCTTACATTATGCTTTTTTACCTTCTTTCATACTCCCCCGCTCTGCCTACTTAACAGGCTAATTTCGTTCTACGCAAACCTGTGGCTCCACTGTCACAAGGCCTTTCCTGTTATTAAGGCTCCGACACCTCAGAAATCACCCCGACCACGCTGCACAGCTGCAGGCTTTTCGCTGATGGTAACAATTGTCTCATTGCAGACAATTTAACGGAGTCAAGGACGGAGTCAGCGATGGCTGGCAGCGGGGCCCTTAAAGTCGGAGTGATCAAAGGAGGCGAGGCCGTTGGGACCACAGGTTCATTAAGCTGTCGAGGTCTATTAAGGGATCATCGTGCATATGGTTCCAGATAAAAAGGCAAAGCTTTTATTATAGGATTACCAGATCAGTGGCCAAAGTAAATACCGGTACACAGTATTTATGTTTTGTTATAAAAGTCACCGTCAAATGTGTTCGGAACTGTTTCAATGATAAATGAGCAGACAGTCAAGTCTTCTGCCGTAAGATACAATACATTTTCTTATTTAAAAGAAATTTTACAGAAATCATTTGTTTTAAGTTTACCAAGAGCTGTGAGTCAAGTGAACCTAGAAAATTCTATTTTAAACTTTTGCACAATTGCTACCAAAGCAGCGTGATATTCCAACACCGGTGACGGGCCTGTTTCTTTAAGCCAAAGAGCGGGAAGCCATGAACGTCTGTACAGGATCCAACGGTAATCATTCAAATAGTTGCTGAGACGTTGTTATTGATATTGTCTGTGTGCAAAGTGAAGGCCCAAACGACACCGCCATGACTAAAACACAATTCCTCCTGTGTATTATTGATCTTGTGTGTTATAACATCATCCCACCGAACTGCATTTTTCCAGCCGGGGTCGAAAAAAGCCTTTTACATTCCAACGGAGGCCCAGACACCGACTCGAGTTACTCAACTGTCCTGAGATCTTAAATGTGTGTTTTACGCCTGACCGCAATCACATGTTTGTTTGCCAGTATAATATTCAGAAGTCACAACCTTTGGGAAAAAAAGGGAAAAGTATCTTATTGTATAATATCATTATCACATGATCGGAGGAGAAGTGGAGAGCGTTCACACATTGACCAAAGAGTGAGAGGGCAGACTGGGGAGGCCAAGTATGTAAACCACTGCTTCAAAACCAAAGGAAGGGACCGTGTGCGGAAAAACTGCTTTTGACCATACTTCAAATCAGCAACTCAAGTTTTATCATATTTTATTTGTGCTTAACCGGTGTCATCCCATCTGTTTTGAGGTATATTTTTTTATTTTAGCAATATTATCTCAGGGTATTACTGTATGTGTAGTGTGATGGAATTGTTATTTTTTTTAATTTGGGATGCATAAAAAGGCACAAATTGGCGTATCTAACATTATGACATGCAACTAACATGCAATAGTCTTTTAAATATGGTCCATTAACCTGCTGGAGTGCATCTTGTCTGTCTGCGGATCTACAGATTTGACGTTACAATACAAAGTCACTGTTGGCTTTCACATATCTGACACATTGAAGGGAAGGATAAACACATCTCCTTTAACCTCATCTCGCTTTCCTGACCAACATTCAATCTATAAACAGGAAGAAAGAAAAAAGCAAAAACATTGTTCAAAAGAGGCAGAAGGAAATTGTTAGTTTGAAACGGTCAGAAGACCAGCAGCGCCACGAAAGACGGAGAGCGTCTCCTTTTAATCTCTTTCCTCCCCCCCGTGTACATCCGCCGGTGCCCCCGCCGCCAAAGCGGAACTATAACGGTGAGGTTTTTACAGCAGCTGCTGCTGCAAAGCTCCTGAGTCAACGGAATTAGCAAAGACAAATCAACTGTTTGTCCAACTTCAGAGCGTGTGATATTCAAACAATCCGTCATTCATGCTGATTAAATTGGCTGTGATTTGCAAGCAAAAGTAGGCAGCCGGATGGCAGAGGGACGCAGCGGGTGGGTCTAATTTCAGAGCTGCTGATTGTTGGAATAGTAGAAAAACTAACAGACTAATATTTTGGGGAGTTTTAATTAGTTGCACAGCTATTTGAATGAGGTGTTTTACAATGAGTTAACAGGGCAATTAAGCCTTTATTTGTGCAACCATTTGAATTTCTCAAGACGTGGAAAACTTGCACACACGGGCAAACCAGCGTGGCTCCTCAGCAGGAGAAATGAGCTTTCTCTGATAATACAGCAGGGAACGGGGACTTATTTCTTCAGTAGACTCTACATTTCTAAATAGCAATGACACTTTAATGTAGCTGGGCCTTTCCCGCCTAATTCTCTGCAAGAAAGACAATGTGCACGAATCCCCAAACGTCAACTATTCCCAGAGGAGCAGAAGGAAATCTCGTCCCGTCAGCTGAACCCGCACAACGAAACGGAAGCCGTCTCTCGAGCGCGAGGGCGCTAAGAGGAAGAGCGAAACGGAGCGAGAAGCGGGCACGTGGACTCGCCCGAGCTGCACAGCACGCTAAGACAAACCAGAAGCTCTCCGGTTGGCGGTGCAGCGAGAAGAGAGGATTACGCAGGCCGAGGCTGAGGAGCAGCGTAAAGCCCCCCGGATAAACCGTGCAGACAGTAGACCTCCCTCTCTCGCACGCGGCCTTCCTTTCTACTTTAACCACGAAAAAAAAAGAAAACCGCGGTCCTGCCGTCTCACGGATGAAGAATTGGGTCTGGAAATAGTCACAAACGCTCACCTGAGCATGTGGGCCGCACTGAAGACCACGTCGAACTCCCCGCTGTCGAGGCGAGCAGCTTTCTGCGCCATCTCCGCAGCTTCCAGCAGCCGCGACTCCTCCAACAAAAACTGACCTGGCAGAGCGGGAGAGAACAGCGCTACTGTTAGAACGGCTGCGGGATCCCCGCGGAGACACGAGAGGGATACGCAGTCTGCGGTCTACAAGTGTTGCCTTTGGCCCTGGTCGAGGAACAGCCTGGTCGGCCCCTGAAATAACATGCCAATACTGCATATGAGTGCAACATATCATCACTCCTCGACCATCGCTCAGACTCATTTGTTCAAGTTAGCCCGAGCCTTCGCGGGTCGGGTTCTTTGGGCCGAAAATGCCCCTGGCGGGAAGGTTTGTGGCTCGTTGAGCGGAGCCCTGCGGACCAGCAGAGTGGGAGGGCATCGGGCAGGTCGGACTGCTCGGTGAGGGGGCAGGTTTGGAGAGGAATTAATACCATGTTGACTTTGTTTGGCCCGGCTACTGTACCGACGCTAAAACCACTATGGGAACCTCGGCATATTTTCCTCAATAACTGTGGATGAAACTGAAGCCGTGAGCACGGGCCTGAGGTGAGAGATGCATCCAAAGGGGAGATTTCAGAGAGTCAATCTATAAGTAGTAAAGGAAAGACAAACTGTATCAATACAGTTAAAGCTTTGTTTAAATAATTTGATTCTGTAATCTTAACAGTGTGACTTTGAAGGACATGTTGGACCCAGTAACGTCGCTGCAGACTGATCAGAGTAATAAGTACTGGAACGCCTGTGTAGCCATAAATAAATCAGCTTGCATAATGGGGATGCTCCACCTTTATTCGCATGTCATTTCTATCACGCTCTTTGCCGCTGAAATGAGTTTTTACACCGGAGGTGACAACTAGAGTACTTTGGGAAATGCAAAAATCAAGTCAGCTGGTGCCGTGCCAGCGAGCTGACATCTGCACCGGCTGTTCATCTGTTGTTCTCCAGCTGTTCATCATAACACAGACAGGGTTTTAACAGGGTTTTAAATAAAGAAAGTAAGTGACTTGTCGGCTTATTTGAAATCAATCTCACTAGTCAAGTCATGTGGGGGCACAAGGGCAAGACAAGGGATGCTGAAACTGTCACGTTCTATATTTTCATCGGGCCAAAGAGAACAATGTGAGGAAATGGACCCCCCCCCCTCCCCCCGTTGGGATCCCGTGGTCACCACGTGCCGACTGACACACGGGCCGATAAGGGGGAAGAGAAGGCAAAGGGGTCACCCAAGTTTGTGCTCGACTCCGTGGTGTATGTGGCAAATATACATTTGAGGATGTCAAAAATAAAGGGAGGATGTGACAAATAAAAGGATCAACAATAACAACCCACCGTAATGCATGTAACAGTTGCCTTTCGCCGGGTCGAGTCGGATGGCCTTCAGGAAGTACCTCTCCGCTTCCGCTTTCTGCCCCTGAGGAGAGAGACGGATTGAACGGCGTCAATATATTTTTTCGACTGCTCCTCAGATGTGCTCACTGTTAAAACCCCCGCGCGCTTTGCCCTTTCAAGCTCTAGTGCCGTCCGGCTGTGCACAGCGGCCGGGGCTCCTTCGTTACACACTTTTATCTGTGCAAATAACACTTCCTGACCACAACCACACACTGACACATGACAGAGGAGGCGCAGGGAAATGAAGCGAGAGCAGAGGTAAGAGGCAGAGTACATCTACGGGGATCTTCAGGCACACGCACATGACTGAAGCCCCGTGGACGTGGAGAGCTCCCTCGGGTCCTCTAGACTGTGACACCGGGCCAATCGGGGCTCAAACGGGACGGAACAGATGGGCGATGGCGGTGCCAGCTGGGACGACGACACATCCCCGCTCTCAGTTGGGCGCCAGATGCCGTCTGATCAACAATTAACAACGCACACTCATCTATTAAAGGCTGATGTTTTAGCATTGACAGCGCGGCCAGCAGTGTCACTACAAGACGATGCCGTGGCATGAATAAAACATCAGGTATTGTGTTAAATCGGAGCCGTGTCGAGTCTATTAAGGCTAGAGGTTGTTTCTGGAAAAAAAAAAAGGTTTCGCATAAAACAGGATAAATAATGTTTAAGAACTCAGCGTGAAGTACAGCGAATGGCTTCAGTCTGATAGAAAGAACGAGCTAGAATACTTAGTCAAGTCACACATCATTTTCTAATCTAAATATACGTGTGGGGTTTCCCTTGATGCTACGGAGAATAAAGTGCATGTTTAATAGACGTGATGGTGTCCAAGCGTAGATCACAGCTCGAGGCTGAGCAGCATCCTCTCTGTGTATTTTTATACTCATATGCACAGATGTGGGAATGTGGATGTTCGAGGGCCAGCTGGTTTAATGATAACACCTTTGTCTTTGTCTGTTTATTAAACCCCAGAATGAAGCTTTCACACGCTGAGGTGAGTTGAGTGGTTGTAAGTGGTTTGAGGAGTTGCACTTTTTTTGCATTAAGGATATTAATGGGTGCCGAGGGTGAGATGCATCACAGTTAGGCCCCCAAACGTAAGTCGCTCTATTTTAATGAACAACTAAGTTGAGATCACATTGAGGACTTGAGGAGGGGGGGGAAAAAAATAATATAATAATATGGAAAGTTACAAACAAAACAAAATCCCCATTTCAAACCACACTTTCCATTGACTTTATCCACTTCTCATAGTCTGCTCGTTGTGTGGACACGCAATCCTCCCTCCTGCAGCACACGTGCTGAGAAGATCGGAGCCTCAAACCTCCTGACGGCCTCAGAGGGTGAGTGGCAGACGCAGACGCGGGACGTGGCTCCGTCGACTCTGAGGCGATCGCGATTGACGCCTGCGTCGCATCAGCTGAGGAAACGGCGAGAAGACGACTGAAGGCAATATCTCAGGCGTCGGGGGTCGCCGCGTCCGTCTCTGACCTGCGGCCCGCGCCGAGGCCGGATCACATCGGTGGAGGTGTGGCAGGCGGGGGGTTATTAACTCACCCTCCCCTTCCTCCCGTCAACAAATCACAGCAACTTGTCACTCTCTGTGCCTCGGCAACCAGCTCAGCTCCCCTGAAGTCTCCTCACGGGGATCTGAACCTCAGAACACCCTGACAGTTTTTTCATCACTCACAGGGGTGCCACAATCAGAGGAGAGGAACAGGATGGGGGGGGGGGGGGGACACTTCCTGCACTGGTTTTGATTACTTAAACGCTGCTGTCGCACAGAGGACGTGGCTGCAACAGGAGGAGGGAAACGTTGAAGAGGTTCCTAAAACTTTTAATCGATTAACTGCAAAGCTCTAAACTTGTGCAGAGAACTAAGTTCCCTTGGCATTGCTCATAACGCCTGCGTCGTTCACCACGGTCACGGACCGGCAGAGATTCTCTCCTTTCTCCTCCAAAATCAATAGCCCTTCCTCGGATAAAATGAGTTACTGTTAACGGCCCGATGCGTCCGAGTCCAAGCACTCCTCCTCTGAAGAATCATGTTGCTCTTGCCGACTGTCGTCAGCGACAGCGTCTGGTTTGGGGTGCGTTTTGATATCCGATGGCGTTAGTATACAGGGGGGGGGCAGTTCTTGACAGCTTAACTCGTGGTGTCAGCGGAGCGATTCTTTAGGCTGACCATTAGTCTGCCTACAGATGGCAAAATCAATCGAGCGTGGCGCAGGAGCTGAATTACATTTGAAAGACTTGGAAGACATCTTCACAAGGGACACGCCATGCAATGACATCGTTGAGCCACACAACGTATGATGCACACGAGGGGGAATCAACACAATTATCCAATGACAGGACACGTTTGACATTTAAGCTTTGCAGAGAGAAACTACTGTAATACAACAGTGTCCGTCTCACTATTTTCCGATACACAAACGGAGAGAAATGGTTAAATCTTGGATTTCCCAGCTAGATTAAGTAGGTCTTCCACATTCCACATGCAGTGTTGAAACACAAACCTCAGACTCTGTTTCCACCAGGGAAATGAAAAGGACAGGAAGACTCTAAACTCCGCCGCAGGCAACCGAACACACTGACTTTCCTTTGGGGCCCCAGAGTCAGAGAAGCGTAAGAGCTGAAGAGAAGGCCTCCACCCTTCCTCCGCCCTTCCTTTGACCTTCTGTGCAACTCTTCTTCTAATTTGTTTGTTTCTCTTCCTGCAATCTCTCTCTCTGCTCCAAATGCGCTTATCTAGCTCCAATCTCTGACCGACCGCCTGACCCGACCTCTCGTCAACCCGGCGACGACCAGCGCCGCTTCTTTCTTTCCGCGCAGACGGCATTTTGTTCTGGTTATTGAAACGCAGGTCGGCTCCGCCGTCCTGAGAGGATATTATCTCTGACCCGGAAGATGTTTTGCTGTTTTTGTGTTGGCTCAAGCTACTTTTTGAAAAAGCCTTGTAACAAATCACAAGGTCCAAAAAGCAGGCTGCTAGGACGGGGTTTTTAATCCCAGACATCGCGACACCTCTCATGCTCACGGCCTTCCATACTCCCCCCCCCACCTCCCCTCTCTCTCCCCCAACACATTGATTAACTGTAGAAACTCGAGGAGGACATTACGAACTATCAGCACAGAGCTGAAGAGGACTGATGAAAAGCCCGGGGAGGTGAAAGAGAGTAGTAAAAAAAGAGGAGGACTGGTTCGGGAAAACAAAAACAGTCAGCCGGCGAAAGTGTCTAATGAACTAGCAACATAGAAAACAAAAAGCTTAAAAGCTAAAAGAAGGAAGGATGAAATTTGAAATCTCACCGTCATAGCCAGCAGCTTTCCGTAGGTGAGATGTGCTGGAATGTGGTCCGGCTTGGCTCGCAGGGACTCTCTGTACCAGTGTCCGGCCTCGGTCAGCTTGTTCAGCCTGATGTAGGCCTCTCCTGTGACGGCAGGGTCAGGGGTCAACTTTCAGAGGGCAGTTCTTCACGTGAGCGACTTTGCACGCAGCCTCAAACCCCATATTTTTATTTTGATCTAATTATATGTTTACTAGTATAGCTCCACAATGCAAGAATAAATATACACACTTTCTGTCCTTCAGAGAAGTCAACTTTAATACGCAGTGAGTAGTGAATACCTTCATCTGATTTGAGGTTTTTTAAACTGAGGTGCAGGGTGTGTCTCACAAACTACCGACTGTCTCACTCTCGCTCATCTGTCAGACATCATGCGATACCTCCCCCGTCGGCCCGTCTGACCCTGCACCTGAAAAAACAATATACCCGCGCTCTCTCTCTCGCAGACGTCCAATAACACGCGTATTAGCGCAGGAATTTGACAACAGCGGCCGGTCACTGAAAACAACACCGTAACATATTTAGGGGTTGTTTGGACTGGAGTGGACCGGCACTTTAATTCTGGGAGGATTAGGTCTAATCTCTCGCCTGATAGGAAGCCGTGATAAGCAAACAGGTGTCCCACGCTTAATCCTTTTTCCATTATTTGAATAACACACATTCTCCTTTTCCTGCAAATGAGCAATACTGCGTGTAATAAATGATATCATAACACCTCCTGAGATGAAGAGAGATACATGGAAATATATTTTCAAGATGATCTCTATCAGTGAACTTTATGTTTCAGATTTAAGCGCTGGAAATCCATCAAATTCTAGCTACATTACTACTAATGTCCTTGACACCAGCTAACATCAAACAGAGGAAAGGAACGGATTAGACGATCTATATTAGGTCGTCATATAACTTTTTAAAGCTTCCTATATTCCAATGTAACTTTGTTTCATACAGAATTACTGAGTCACTTCGTCGTATTTAATGGACAGGCTTATTTGGCTTATAGAGATTTACCAGCAACGCGAAGCCAAAAGCTTTTCCCCCCAAAAATGCACGTGCTGTTAAGACACTTCATCAGTTCGCGGGTTTCCAAACGTTGGCCCGATTGTCTCGCGCGCACGGCAGCGGACGCCTGCGTGAGATTAGCTCAAACATCAACGTGCAATTAGGAGTGACATCCGAGTGGCTGAAAAGCAGCTCATTCCTCGGCCCACCGGGGAGAGAGCTGGAGCGAGACCAGCAGGGCCGCTGATTACCACCCGGGTGCGACTGCGATGAAAGCTCCCGCGGCTTGGCGTCCGAGCAACAGCATGAGAGCAATAAAAAATTCAAAAAAACGGCAAATACGTGCAGGCGGGTGTGTGCCAAACGGGCAAACGGGTTCACTGAGGAAACGACGCCACGCTGCAGAAACCGCTGATCTCTGCTGCTCAGCGCTGAACTGGAGCGCTCGTCAACATTTTGACATAATCCCAGAAGCTTTGTCAGATGGCATTTTGCCAACATAACAGCAAAACCAGTGCAGCACCACGTCTGGATTAAAGACATCCCAGGTTTCGAGTGTGTGTGTGTGTGTGTGTGTGTGTGTGTAGGCAGCTGCATGTGTGTGAGTGACAGAGAGAGAGAGAGAGAAAATCAAAAGCTAAAAAAGCAAGAAGAAAGCGGATTTAATGAGCCTGAGAGCAGCTGTTCCACAGCTGTAATATAACAAGACGGCTTGTTCTTGTAGTGAAAAGCAAATTAACTTGAACATGATATTACAAAGCTGACTACCGTCTCAAAACGCTGTTTAACAGCATTCATTCGGGTTAGATTACTTAAAGAATGATTTCACTGATGGTTGTCTGCTTGATGTCCGATTTTCTTTTGACAACCTCCTTCATTCTTGCGGTTTTTCAAACTTTGTGCAGAGGCTTAAACTAAACACTGGGCTGCAGAAAGCTACAGGCGGCTTAACCTAGTTTTCATCTTCATATCTAATAGGCAAGAGCTTACGCTAAGCCCCCGCTTTCAGATTTACAACTGAGAACGTGAACCTCGGGGGTTCATTTCTTGTGAATTCTCACAACACAAGCGTTCTGACACGTCTTTGATTTCTTGAGGATATTTAATCATCAAACAAACAACAACAATCCTATTGGTTTTGCATCAACGTTTCCTACTGTTTTTAACCGTAGCGTTTCCAGAGGTCTGGGTGTCTCTCCCTCGCATTGGGTGGAAGTGATTTTATATATATGTATATATGTATATATATATATATATATATATATATATATATATGTATGTATATATATATATATATATATATATATATATATATATATATATATATATATATATATATATGTATATATATATATATATATATAATTATGTATGGCTACCTCACATTCAAGTCTGCAAGAGTGAAATGGCCAATGGGGCTTTAAGCAATGGTCTTACTTGCAGTTTTGTTCAGTTAAAACACTTTCTGTCCCTGAGGAAATAAAATTGGTTTGTTTGTTTAAGGGACTGAGCACAAAAAATGAATTAAGTACAGCGGGAAATTGCTTAACACTCCAAAATAGCCTGCACCCCGATTCCAATGTGTCATATACTCGTTCGACTTAAAAACAACAGCTTTCATGCTTGTATACAGTGAAAAAAACTGCTCCTACCCATCATGTTGTAGAGGCTCTGTGGTGCAAATTGTCTTGGCATTTTCTGTATTGCTTCTTCAAACACGGCGAGGGCCTCCTGTGAATGAAACAAATGAGATAAAAAAAAAGGTGGGGGATGTTTGCATTAGGGCGGAGAGCGCGAGCCAAAGAGAATCTGGCGCTTTGGTAACCAGTCATCCCTCCCCTGCAGCCGGGGGGCCGTGACACTGTGAAAACACAGCGTGGAATTGGGGGGCGCTGGGTGGCTGGTTCACACAGAGCCCGAGCAGAAAAAGGGTCCATCCTCGGCGTCACGGCTGTTAAGGCGGCCCGGAGCGGCCGTCCCACGTGGACCCTGGGACGTATTGAGAGTAGGCTCTGCGCCGTCCCGTGAGGGTTTAAATGGTAGAAGGAGCTGGAAGTGCTTTATAAACTGAAGCGAATGTCGCGGTTAAAGATCGGAGGAAGTGGGACTGCTCGCATTGTCCGGCATGCCAACAGTTTACAAAAGCCCTTATTGAATCTGCGGCGCTGCTGCTTCAACCCTGATTGAATCAGCAGCACCGGTGATTTAGCACAGAATAAATGTGCTTTATTTGAAAGTGTAGGTCTATAGAGGCATGAAAAGAGAACACATTTGTTAGAAAGAGCCTGAGGATTGTCTGCACAAAACTTCCCGATGACACAAGCAATGCTGGATCGTGTCCATTTGGAACTGAGAATAATTAAAACCATCTTATCCAAGTTGTTTGGACACAATACGGTTGTGCATGTAAAATACAGTACATTTTATTCCGTATTGTGGTGATCTATAGGTCCATCAGCAACAAATAGCATATTGATTGACTTGAAACATACATTACAAAACGTATCACGTAGGAAAATGTGATTTGTCTGCAGGCCGGGTGCTCACCTCCTGCTGTCCCTGTTCGTGCAGCAGCTTGCCCAGGTTGTACAAGCAGCTGGTGACTGAGCTCTTGTGGGCGTGGGGGTCCTTCAGGTTTTCATCTGGGATGTCTGCGCAGGTCAGAAAGGTGCGCTTGGACTCATCTAGGCGACCCTGGTTCATCAGAATGATGCCGGTGTTCAAGTAGGCCGCTGTTGCGGAAAAAAAAAAAGAGACAAAACCCGGACGACATTGTTGAGTTCTGGGCAGAGCACTTACGTCCAATCGGCTGATTTTGGATTCGCTTTTTTCCCCCTTGATGCTAAAGCCAAGTGGCAACAACCAAGCCACTGTAACCCGACATCACGCCTGCATCCTCTACTGCTGCGGCTTCATTCCACGATGCCGACCTCCTGCACGTCTGCTGCGTCTTTTACTGAGAACCTTTTTTTCCTCCAAATCTGACTTCACAAGCTAACCCACAATCAACGGTGCTGAAAAGTTGAGTAATTGCCGTTTCTACAATACACATTTGAGGTGGAACCGTAAACCCCCGTTTCTCTTTTTAATGCATTAATCTTATATAGTATATTTGGCGTTTGTGTGCATCCTGGGGGGATCCTTTGGACGCTTGTTAAACTTTTTTTCCTTTTCGAGACAACGTCTAATAGTCAATACGGAGCTGGAGAGTAATTAATCTCTGTGGACCTGCCTCTCTAAACAAGCGCCTGTCATGTCTGGTTGTGGGAATAAATTAACCCGCTACAGGAGATCAATCTCTTCTATAGGGGGGGTTGACGTGTAATCATGTTGAAGGGCGGTGACCAAGCAGCCTTTTATTCTCCAATAACTCTAGTGGAGCTTTTTCCTCTTCTGTCTTCAGTCTTTGGGATTGGTTGATCTTGAAAGCTCATATTTTTTTATTCCACATCCTTACAGCTCACAGTCTTATTGTTATTGCTACATGCTGTTGCATTAGATGAATAAATTATACCTTTTTTCTGTTTTTTTTCCATACCATTTTCCATGTGGAAATCAATAGCAGATTTCCACAAAACAGCCTTCTTCTGAATATTGAATATAGGAGTTAAATGGTAAATGGCCTGTACTTGTATGGCGCTTTTCTAGTCTTCTGACCACTCAAAGCGCTTTAACACTACATGACATCATTCGCCCATTCACACACTGATGACAGGAGAACCATACACAGTGACACCTGCCATCAGTAACTACCATTCACACACTGTAGTCGCAGCTACAGGAGCAATGTTGGGTTAAGTGTCTTGCCCAAGGACACATTGACATGCGGGTTAGCCAGGACTGGGATCGAACCCACAACCCTCTGATTGGAGGACGACCGTGCTCCCCACTCACCCACAGTCGGGAGTTGTCTCCTCATTATTCAGTGACTAATGCTTCAACCTTGAGAAGCGCTTTAAACGGTCACATTATGATCCTGTCGTCAACGAGTCTGCTGCTCATTAAGCTTGTTATCGGCTATAACAGATCGGATAATTGCACGTTAAGTGGAAATCTTCTAGTCTTACCGCGCGATCTTGATGAGGTGGATAATTAATCCAAGGAAGAAAGAAGGAGTCGTCGACTGACGCCTGGAACAATGGGGAGCTAATTTACTGCATGATCAGGTAAGATTGGGGGGATTTGTTCTCATCAACCCGCCGAAGGTGACACGCATGTATGACATATTAGTAATTCCAGCAAAGCAGAGAATGAGGGATGGATGGAGAGGAAGAGTGATGCGAATAGAAGAAGCAGTGATCATAGGAGCGATCGGGTGAAGTCTAAATAAAGGACATTATGCAGCGGCTAAATGCCTCGACTTTGAAAGGTTGCACCTATTTCTCTCCCTTCACACGACCGCGTCTGTTGTTCACTGTTGCCTGGACACAGCGCGGCCGCAACCGCAAGAGCTGCCGATAAAAATAAATGAAGAGCCGTACTTACAAGCCAGAGTTGGCCGGCTCCCAATGGCCAGCTTGTAGTAGTGGAGGGCCTCTGAGAACTTGTTGCTCTCCTGTAGCAGCAAACCGCTGAAAACAGACAAAAGGAAAGACGGCACAGGCGGTTTAGGGCTTTAAATAAGAAGAAGAAGAAGGAAAAAAAGGATCTGGTGAAGAAGTGAAGAGGAATATTTAGATCTCAGACAGACGTGAGAGCACACACGGAGGGCCGCCTGTGGATGCTTTGTGTTCCCCCCCCCTCAGGCGTCATTATTAACCTTGTCAGACAGAACACCCCTCTCGAGAATACAAGACGAGATGGCACTTCCTCCGAGAGAGCAGCTCTGATCAATGGACCCATGAATGTTAAACGAGAACGTGCCCATTTGTTTGCATACACACAGTAAAAACCAAGTAAAAAAAAAAGCTCATCCGGAAAACAGCAGAGGAAAACCAAACGTGCACATTAAGGATTTGAAAATGTGATTTATGTTGAAGTGGAAGGACACAAACTCACAGGTTATACAGCATGTCGGCCATGTTGCTGCGGTAATAGAGGGCGTTTCTGTAGGCCTGTTCAGCCTCCTCCATCTGGCCCTGGCTCTTCAGGACGTTTCCAAGGTTGCCCCATGCTGACAAGTTACAATAGGAAAGCTTAGTCACACAGAGTGAACACTTGTGGCAACCTTCTGAAATGCTTTTCGATCAAAGTATGAGGAGATTCCTGTGGCAGGTATTCATTTTCACAGGGTTTATTTTATCCTCAAAAGTGAAATAAATTAAGGGCAAATACAGAAGGCAGGTGATAAAAAGTTGCTAAGAGCTTTAATACATTTACCGAATAGTGCAAGCATGAAATTAAATGTAAAGGGGGAATGGATATAAAGTAATAGCTAATGTCAATGTATCATAATGTCACCGTTGACCTGTTTTTTTTTTAAGGTCACTTTATAGGCTGCAGAATAAACATCTAAAAATAATCATTAAAGGCAAGGAACAGGATGTTATATGGTATACCTTTGCATCTCCACAAGTATTATTTAATACAAAGATAAAATCCTGGCTCGGGCCCTTTTGTGGACGTTTTAAAGTGCAGAAATATGCAGCGTGCAGCAAGCAATGTTTTTAGTATTTTGCTGTTGAAAATCTATGGAGCTGTGCTCATTTGTGCACCGATGGAATTTATGAAGCTTCTTTTGCAGGTCAGCTTTGGACAGTGTGTCCGTTAGGCTGCTCTCATATTAGCAACGATGGAGTTGAGTTGGGGACATTGCTGCCGCTCGATGGCCTGCCAAAACCAACAGCTGTCACGCGTCAGCTGCGCTCACAATCTGAAAGGGAAATTAGCGAACACAACATGCACCCTGCCTCCCCCCCCCCGACAGCTCGGAGATCTTTGCCTCGGATGTAAATCAGTGCTCGATAACCTCGAATGTGGAGGCTATAAATTCATTTTTATTGCCAATAAGAGACGGGTGGGACAGGGCAATCTGGTGTCATTTAACAGATTGCATGCTGGGTAAAAGAAGACTAACGATAAAGGGCTTCAGCTGTGTTGCAGCCCTCGGAAAAGAAAAATCCAAAACGTCGAAATTAGGCCTTGAGTGGCGCAGCGGTCTCATTTTGCTTTTTGGGCACCGTCTCGTGAGCACATGCTTATGCGGCTGCGTGATGAAGAGAAGACATTTTTCAAGGGGTTTGACTTTGAATTATTCAGGGCAGCAAAGAGAGACAGCTGCACACAGTATTACATTCAAAAACCGTGTCTGACAGCTCGCTCACGATTCGACAAAATGAGAGGTTTTAGGCGCTGGTATGTGCACGAAAAGTACATAAAAGTCGCCCTTTTTGTGCCTCACCTTTAGCGGGATTGACATAAATTCCAGACTTGTAGAGCATCTCCTCGTTCTGCCAGTCTCTGTTCCTCAAAACGGTCTTGACGCCGAACAGGAGAACGATGGCGGCGCTGCAGGACACCAAGAAGGTCCTGGCAGAGCCGCGCGGAAGACGCACGTACAGGCACCTCATCCCCACCGCCACCAGCAGGCAGAAGCCCATGCTGGGGATGTACAGCACTCGCTCTGCTATCACGAAGCCCACGTAGAAGAAGAGGTTTGTGGCGGGGAGGAAAGGGATCGCCAACAGGCCCAGTGAGAACACCACCACGTTTTCAGTGGTGGGCAGAGGAGTTCTGCTCTCGTGGTGCTGTCGGGTGCCGTTCTGCTCGCCGCTATTAGTGTGAGCGTCCGCGTGCGAATCGTTCAGGTGATCGTGGTTGGTGTATTGGCAGCTGTGCCCGTTGCTGTTCCCGTTTCTGCCGTTGGCGTGCTGATGATGCGCTTTGCCGTTGGTCTCCTTGGCTTTCGCCGGCCGGCGCGCCCGCAGGCCGAACCGAGCCAGCGACAGCAGCCCGAGGTAGAAGGCCGCGGTGTGGGCGTTCCTCCAGTCGGCGAGGCTCCTGATCAAAGGCAGGGCGTCCATCGACCAATCGAAGCTGAGCCTGTTCGGGCAAAGCAGGAGCCAGAAGTTGACGGCGGGCAGGTAGGAAAACGTGAGCGTCCTGGTGAGGAGGGAGGGGGAGTCGGCCGCCGGGTTGTCGGAGTTGGAGAAGTTGGGGGGTTTGTTGCCCATCCAGTAGAAGCGGCAGGCCAGCAGCACGGCTCCCCAGGCTGCCAGCAGAAACACGTTCAGCAGCAGGCGGACGTTCTTTCTCTGGAGGGTAAAGAAAACACAGGACCAGTGATCAAACCTTCCACCCACAGTTTTCTGGGTGGTTGTGATATTTATTACTTTTAGACCTTTACATTAAGGAACCAGGGCAGTGAATTGGAAAAGAAAAAAGAAAAAAGAAAAAAAAAGGCTATGATGTTGTTACAATGGAGAGCTGCATAACCAGATGCCGTCTGGAACTAAATGAGCGACCAAGACTCATTAAATTGGCTTTGATATATTTTTTTTGTTAAATTTTGGCTGCTGTGTTCCAACAACAAAAAGTGCATGCTGAATTATTTGATTAAAATTGAATTATTTTCACTATGTGAATGAATCATTTTAAATCAGATGACTTTATATCAGAAGGCTTTGCTCCATTCATTCCATTGACATATCACAACAAACAAAACCACTTGACTGTGGAAATACAAACTTAAAATGTTTTAGGTTTCTGTCAAATCAGCAGCTTCAGCATGCAAAGCAACGTCCAAGTGTCCAATAGCGTCCTCCGTAGACTTTGCAGCCATTGGTGGTTCCATTACTCTCAGGGGTGTGAATCTAAATCTCAGTGTATCACATTCCTGGAATTCTTTAGACAAATAGCTGTTTGCTACTTTACATTTAAACCCGAGGCAACACCAGCTAAGCTCACATTACTTTTTTTCCCCAGTAAATGGGATATTTTTTCAACTCATAGAAACCAAATTCGTTATCCTCATACCACCACTCCTTTGGGTGTGTTTTTGATTACCTCGCCTGTCCCTTGACAGAGCTTTGTTGACTGCTTGTGATCACTACCAATGCAACAAGCTGCTCAACACTCAGAGAACTGGAAATGACAACAGGGGAAAACACCTCGATGGCTCATTACAATATTTGCCTTAGTGCAGTAGAGGAGGTAAACAACAAATGGAAAACACGACGCAATCAAACACATTTGCATGTTCAGTGTGTGTGCCGACGAGAGAGAGGAGAACTCCTCGTCAAAATGTTTGCTTGGTTTTGCAGCTGAAGAAACTATATCACACCAACCATATTTTATCAAGTGTCCCTCTGAAGCAAAAGACTGGTACAGAATGTTCATGGTACTATTAGAAAGATTAAAAAAATACTTATATATATATATAAAAGGTCAACTCCGTCAAACCCTTTGCTGGTGGCCTGACGACAACCCGTGCAGCACAGCATTTTATGATAATCAGCCACTGCTGAAGAAGTTATTTGGTTGCTTGGCAACCAAAGGTCACTGTTGTTTCAATCAACATCCCCACGTTTTATTAACATAAGCAACTGGCAATGATATTACAGCCAGCTGGCCGTGAATTCCACGGGGAAGACAGGAGAAACAAAGCTAAACAGGTGGATACAAAGCCATGGAGTCAATATCCTGATTGCAATGATATCAGTGCTATTAAAGATTAAAAATAGGAAGGCCGTGCCAGGTCAAGTGTAGGCTAGAGCACAAATCACATTGGTCATGAAGCAAGACACTAGTTGAAATGGTCTAGTAGTAAATCTAATAAATAAGCCCCGTTTCCTCCTGGACAAAGAACCACAGAATTCCTATGTATCATTCAAATTAGCCCGCAGTGACATTAAAGAATGCAGAAACTATGTTCCTGCTTATTGTGGGAATAACTATAGAGGCCTGCTTGGACTAACGTAACACATCCATAAGCCTGCATGTCACAGACCCTTTTATAGTCAAGAGAAGAGTTTGGCATTCGCTCCCATTCCAGCCGAGAGTTGGAATAAGAACATTACCATTCTCATAAAAGCAAGATATGTGAACAAATATAGTGGCTGATTTGCTTGATATCACAAAAATAATTAGGATAAGAAAACTCGCTGTGGAGTCACACCTCTTGATTTGATATATACGGTCTGAAATAATACTCTAAGAGTATCAGTGGCATGTATAACTATCGCCATGGCCTTCAGATACAAACCGGCACAAAGTGCAGCCGACACTGAAAATCCGTCATGCGAACTCCACACGAACCCTCGGTACGGACGGACGGACGCACATTATCCACTTCAAATCTCAAACACCGGGTTTCAATGTACACTTTGAGTCAATCCCTAAAATCACTTGAGTGGTGAAAACGAAGGTCCTCGTTGGAAGATTTTTTTTTATTTTTTATCTCAGAGCATAAATTCTTCAGAGAAATGGAGCAGGTTAAAGAGGTCTGTGAGGCCCAGGGACTTGGACTTGCTGAGCAGGGTTAATACATCTCAATGACTGCTTCAGGGAGATCCGGCTTGGATTTATGAGGCTCTACTATAAGCTTTCAAGTCACCCTCTCTGGCCAAAGCTCCTGCTCACAAGAACCCCCCCCAAAGTTATCTTAGAGCACCCTCGGGGAGAGACTGTAATAAAAGCTCCTTCTATTTTTAGAGCGAACAGGTCATCACAAAATTGTCCGGTTTGTGAAACCTTTGATTCTGCAAAGCAGCTTCGTACATTGCCCCTTTTTATTTTTAGTGTACACACCTCTGAAAGTGCTGAGGAGAACCTGGCACGGGTCCCATACACGTGCTCACACCTGCCCCCCCCTCTCCGAGGGCAAAAAGATACGTCATCCGTGAGTCTCCGCAGACACAGCGCACGCTCGGACACTCGCCGCCGTAACCACCTCCACATGTCGACGCCGGGGGGGGGGCTGCGCTGCGGGTTTCATTCCACGTTCTCGTGCAGCAGATTGAGATCTCCCCCAAGTGTACGGGCGGTATTGAGTGCTTTGATTGCACCTCAGTGCACATGTGTGACCTCACTGCTCTGAAATCCTAATGACAATAAATGTGAAAGCAAAGACGTGCACAGGAGGCGCTCTGGAGATGATCTGGAGATGATCTGGAGGACACGTCACCGTTGGGACAACAATGAACCTCTGGTCTGTCAGCTCTTGAGTGAACAAACATGTGCATCCTCGTCTAATATGCACGCGGCTAAAAATTGGACCATTCAAAAGTTGAATTAGCAGCCGGCGTCTCCCTGGTTACTGCAGCTCTCTTGTGAAGGGACGACCAAGGGATTCCAGCTCGGTGTGTTTTGTCTATAATCCAGTTTAGTTTGGAATAAGCGGTTATAGCGAAACCCCGTAGGAGGCTTGAGGTGGGTGTTTTTTGTTTTTCCTTCCCCTTTGTGTTTCAGGCGCAATCAGTTAAGAATTAAAACAATTTTAGCTTTTATAGGCCGAGCATGTGAATAAAATGTCCTTGGAGATGAAATGCAAAACAGGCCAATTACGGAATCCCTATTTGTGCCTGAACCCCCCACCAGAATTTGATTAGGTTGAATTAACTGAAAAAAAAAAACCTTTGTCTTTCTTCTTCTTTTTCCTAACATCCGCTGGTTTGATGTGAAAGAATGTTTGTAGAGAGAAATTCAATTAATTAGTTTGGAGAAAGTGCTCCATTCTGTGGCTGCACAGAGACCTTTTTGCATAATTGGCATTTAAAGGAACAATCCGTCAGACGACACATCTAACGAGCCCGTCAAAGTGAAGCGCCGTGACTGCCCCCCCCCCCAACGAGAGAAGCGCCGGCGTCTGACCTGTTCCCCGCTCTTCATCATCATTACTGAGAGCAATTGTCGGAGGAGGGCTTTTCATCAAGATCGGCCTGCACATTGATGACCTTGTAATGGAAGTGAAAATGAGCACCGGGTACCAATCCAGAGGAAATAACCACCTTCAAAAGCTTTCTCGCTCGCACGTAAATAAAGCTGAAGTTTGGCAAGAACCCCCCCGTCCCATTAAATATTCAGCATGAATCGCTCCACGGGTTTTGATGGATGGACGGACGCACGCCGCAGGTCCTCGTTCCCTGACCGCTGCAACGACGAATCAATGAACCACGATCTCCTCCCCTTATCAGCTGCAGCTGTCATTATGCCCCCCCCCCATACGAGACAGTAAAGAAGCCTCGGTTGTAAAATCCTGATGGTTAGTAGGCGAGACAAGATAAGGACTTGAGTATTGCACTTCCTAAGAACGTGTTACGGATTACCAACAGCTGGCTCGTGTTTACAAAATGTGATTAAAGTGACGCCGGACAATTTGCTCCCACACACACAGAACTGGATTTGGCCCATTTCACAGACGCTTCTGTGACAATGAGATAAATACATTGGGTAGCATTTTCTGGCTAAATATATACAGAATGGGGAAAAATACACTTTCATGTTTTTTCGCAAGTGAAATTACTGTAAAATGAGAATGAAACCAAAGCCAGGCGCCTGATTTAGCATGAAGAAAAGGAAACACCGGAAAGGAAAATCTGCCTAGCAATAATTCTAACAACTCAACATGATATATATCTTATTTGCTTGATCATGTTTCATGGAATTATTTCTCTGCTCGACAAGTGAAAGTCTAGCCAGCAAAAAAAAAACAAAGTCTGTTTTATGAACTATTATGTTTTCTAGCAAATCAGACCTTGAGTCATCTCAAGGCAGATGCAAATAATCCACATTCCTCCTGCAGATAAGATAAGCTACACGGTTGCTGTCATCACTTCAAGCGAGATAATCCTCTGCACACGACGCATTGTTTACTTAAAAAGGAAAACAGACAACTGCTGGGACGCCCGCCGTCCCACGTGGTGCGAAAAGGCCATGAAGTCAAACCCCACAGTGGAGCTCCGTGATCAACGCTTTTAACCCGCGTGAAGCCATCTGAGAGCTGCGACGGCAGGTAGCACGACGACGGGGGGGGAAGGGGAGTGCATCGAGAAAAGGCCGGTGATGAGTATGAATCCAACCGGAGATGAGAAACAGACTTTTATTGACTGTGAAACATTAAAGATAAGAGCGGTTTCCAGTAGCGAGAGAGAGATACAGTATGTGTGTGTGTGTGTGTGTGTGTGAGTGTGAGAGAGCACAAGAAGGACAAAACACATCGTTTTGCGGTGCTGGATGAACGCCGTTGACAGGTTCAGTTTCCGTGCTGAACGTGAGGAAAGAAGGAACATTTTCCCTTTCAAGTGTTGCTGAACCA